AGAAAAATGGCCATGTCATCGATTGATGTTTTAACAACCAAAAAACTTAATAAAAACATGCACAGAAAAGAAATAGAAGCAAATCGAATTGACAAACAAAATAAAAAAGAGCTGTGTGTAAATAATACTTTCAAAACAATAGAAACATATTATACTGACACTGACGACAATACTGACGAAGATTCCAATTATTCACCAAATGCAATGTCCTCATTGCCATCAACGTATAGTACTAATAAACAGTCACAAATGAGACTCGAGTTACCAGCTCTAGCATTAGCGTGTGATAGAACAGGAATATCTGATCGAACTGCTGCTACTATTGCTAGTGCAATACTACAAGATGTTGGAATAATTAAAACTGATGATAAACAACATGTGATCGACAGAATGAAAATAAGGAGAGAGAGACATAAGAAACGTCAAGATCTTAAAATACAAACTGATAGGCAACCGAAAAGTCTATATTTTGATGGACGTAAAGACTACACTATTATAAATCAAAAAACAGATGACAAATATTATCGTAATAAAATAACTGAAGAACACATTACACTCATAGGAGAGCCAGGGTCTCGGTTTATGTGTCATACTCAAGCTGTTGAGAGAGCCGTTAAGTTAGTAACCGATGCATCTACAGCGGTCTGTGGTGAATCAGCTAGAGATGGATTTATACGAGCTAGAATTGAGTCGCGGGCTATAATGCCATCATTTAATACAAAAAAAGAATATAAATTGTTTAAATTATAAAATTTTAATGATAGGTAGGTAGGTAATTTTATAATTTTTATTATAATTTTGGTAAACAACAATGTAAAATAAAAATAAAATAAATTCATATTATTTATTTATGCGTACAATAAATAAGTACATGGCGGCACCTCAAAAAGTTATCCCATGACCTTCAAAGTTTTTTTACTTATTAATACTCTTGAAATACATAAAAAAATGTCTATTAAAAACCAAAAAAAAATTTTTTTTTTTTTTTAATTGTTTCATTCCACCCTAACCTACACGGCTGTATATATATATATTATATTATTTATTACACTATAGTGTAGTAGTATAATATAATCACACAATTTTTTAGCAAATACTGCACACTATTATAGAATAATATTGTTTAGTAACATATTAATACCGAGCCCAGAGACAATATTTTATTGACGATTAAAGTATCCATTTTTTTTATTACTTCTGTAAATTTCAAAGCCTAATTTTGAATTTTTTCATGTCTCGACACTTCTAGTGTTTTATATTAAGTTATAATTTAACCGTTAAGACTAAAAACAGTATTGTGAGATGCCGGACAAAAAATTGGACTCGCGACAGTAGTGTATCTAAATGGCCTGTACGCAGAGTTCCGTGTACTAAATTGTATAGATTTAAACACTCCGAATAATATTATGTTTCGGAATCTGAAATAAAAAATGTATCGTGTCATCCAAAGAATTCAAAAACTCGAAAACTGATAACAACATATTATTATATTATAATATCTTTCATCTATGGCAAAAGCCGATCGTCGTCATTCGTCGGAGACGATTCACAATTCTAATAATTTCAAAATAAACAAAAGAGAAATGTGTAAGGCAACAATAAACATTTGCTCACATATTTCATTCTACTCAAGTAATTTTTTTAAAAAAATCTCGATTTTTTCAGTTCGGGTTTAGATGAAGAAAAAAGTTCCTCGATATGGCGTCTGCACTCAAGATATGGCCTTGCAGCTATATATTACCCATAGAGTCGATGTATACGTAAGTTTGATTACCTATTCTTTTGGGGTTACATATTATTTGACTTTTAAGTCTCAAAATTAAAATGTATTGTCACAGACAATTTGCTACCCGGGTGAAGTAGGGGCATATTTTTTGTTCCCGAGCGCGCAACACAAAAAAATACGCTCACAGCACAAACGACGACGGCATATCCAGGTCACAGAATAATAACATATTTATACAATCAAATAGATATAAACAGTGTTGTACATACTAGTCATACTACAGTAGTACAATACACAGGAGTTCTTATGTCCCGCAAAATTCAACAATTTTTATTTTTAGTTTATATAAATGTTAAGTAATATATGAATATTACTATGCCGTCTGCTTGTGGTTGAACCACGAATTAAAGTAACGCTGTCGTACATCAAACATAAAATTATTTTATAAAGCTGGGAAAGTCGCTCTGCTGATTATTGAATATCTATCGGAAATGAAATAAGGAAATTTTAAATTTTAAATATTCTCGAATAGCTTAAAATATACCTAACCAATGCACTCAAAATGAATGCATAAAATATTAATTATTAATTTCGTGCTCGATAGTATTCAGAGAAAAGATTTAACTTGGAATTTTACAAACTATAGTTGGCATAGTCGGTATACGGTAAATGTAATGCATTAGGCACTGAATACCTTTATGTTAAATCTAAAAAATAGTAATTACATTTATTTACAATAAGATTTTCATTTAAGAACTCATAAAAAATGTGCTTGTGCTTTGAATATTTAAACACCACTTTTATTAATTATTAAATTAAAAATTAAAATAATTGGTACTTTATATATTGTTGTAATTTAAATTCTAAAATTATAAACTATTTTGGTTATTGTTATACCTCATTTCATTATCTTAAGGATCAAATCACAAACACGGACCTCCTTGATATAAAAATTTGTGACTATGGTTTTATCATATTGACGTAGTATAAATTATAATGCAATCCGTGGCGATTGTCAGAGTAGTTGCAAAGACGCAATCGATCTAAAATTTCAGTTATCAAAGCTGCAGACATAAACAAGAAACATGGAGCAATCCGTACGGTTTTTTTTTCATAAAAATCTCAATATTTTTAGACTTAAGTTCAGTAGTATATCTGATTTATTCCGCAGTGCACACACAATATCAGAAATTCCACCGAAGCCCGAAAGCGTAGATGTTTAAAGTAATTCATTTTGGTTTCATATTTTTTTGGTGCTTAAATTTATTTTTTATATTTCAAATAAAAATTTAATTTCATGAAAAATATGCTACCCCTATGTAGATACATATTTTATTTCTGAGAGCAAAAGAAGAAAATACGAGAGATCAAATAATATACAAACGCCGCTCGTCGTCGTCGTTTTTCTGCTCCCTGATCGTAGGGTAATTTTATAATTATAACCTATTTTTAAGTAATTGAAATAGACAATATAAGTGATTACTCATAAGGCACAATTTTAATTTATAACTTATAATTTTTTTTAAATCCAAAGTTAGCAGTTACAGGGCACTATTAATTTAGTGTTATATATATTTCATTGTTCTATTATATATTAATATTACATTATATTATAGTTGTATCTAAAAAACAAAAATGTTCCCAGAGTGGTAAACTCACTATCCTAACCAGTAATCACCCCGTACGAGTGATCATGAAAAATATACCTTTATACTAGTATCTTTATGTTATATAATAAATAGTAATGAAATAAATAGACACAGGCGTTCAAATATTCTTAAATGTTGTAGGTATTCAAACCTGGGTGTATACGAGTTAAAAAATTAAAGTTATGTAAATTTTAACTTTTTAACTTCTTTTAGATTCTGAGAGAAGAATGTACTGATTTTACAATTTATTTTTTTATTTATTTTTGTTTCTGTCATCACATTATTTCGGGAGAGTAAAAGTGCTAAGATTTTTTTCAACAAACATCTTTTTTGGTAGAAATGTGAATAGCATCGGTACTTCGAGTGGTCAAAAGTAAAAAATTCTTAATAGTTTTCAATAGTTTTCAAAAAGAAGATAAAATTATGAAATGGGTCGGGTATGAAATTTATTTTATTTTTTTGTTTTAAATTTTTTTTTTGTAATATTTAAATATTTTCACCTATTATCAGGTACGATGACCTGTAGGAACTATAGAGACTGTGTGAGAGAGAGAGAGAGAGAGAGAGAGAGAGAGAGGTAGTGAGATGGAAAAAAGTGTAGAATAGAGAGAGAGAAAGACTGAGTGAGAAAAGGGTGATTTGGTGATGGAGGGAGGGGGGAGAAGGGAGAGAGAGTGAGACTTGTAGGGAGGGAGAATAGGAAGTGTGGAGGTAGANGAAGGGAGAGCGAGTGAGACTTGTAGAGAAGGAGAATAAGAAGTGTGGAGGTAGAATAGTTAGGTTAACCATGTCGAATACTTAGGAAAGGTTCATGAATTGCAAAGGCCACTAGACCAATTAGCTGAAAAACTACCTAGTGATAGGTTGAAAACCTTGACTTATGGGATAGAAAAAAAAGATCGGTAGAGGATGTCAGAGCACTGTTTGTTTGCTCTCTGTATCCCACACACAACAAAGCAATTAATGTATGAGAACCAACCATATATTGTTACTTTAATAATGGTTGGTTCTGCTAAACATAAATTTGCTTTGTTGCGCGTGGGACATAAAGAGTAAACAAAGAGTGCGTCGACATCCTCTCAATAGTGTCATCAAGTTGAACAAAAAAGTAAGAAAAGACGTATTTCTATGCCAAACCATGGTTTTTTGATCTCTTTTACCCTCGCTTCAGAACCAACCCGATGTAGTATGTCGTTACTATTAATATTTAAAAAAAAATATATATTAACTACAATATATTATAATTTATAATAATTCTAAAATATAAAATTAAAAATCAAGTCGAAAGTCTGAAGTTATCAAATTGAAAATCTGTAGAATTTTGACAGTTGACATGAACTGTGATTGAAATATTAAATGCGGAAGTATGATAGGAAGTAAAAGTAATAAGAATTAAAGGTAAAGATAGGACTTTGATGAAAAAATAACACAAAAATGTCATGAAAAAAAAAAATCAAAATTGCCTTTAAATCATTAAAAATTCACAAAAAATAAAAATTGAAATTCATTGTAAAAGTAATAGACAATACAGAAAATTTTAATTTGAAGTTTAAAAAAAATAAAAAAAATTTTTAAAAAAAAAAGGAAAAAAATGCATCAGTAGTCAAATCACATACAAACTCCAAATGCACCGCCTTTGTTGCAAAACACACAAATACGCATATGTATGCCTTTCTGCTTTTCGTCTGTTACTGCATTTTAACATGAATGGACTTGCGTAATCCACATCACTATAGTTTTCAAAGCACCTACTGAACGGTGGGCTCGGAGCGCGGGCAGATTACCCATAGCAAGCGACACATTTTTTGGCTGAGCTTTGAAACATGTAACGCACTGATGTATTACCTTTCTTGCCCACCTCCACCCATTGATTGGCCAGTATTTCAGACGTTCTGATGCGAGCGTAGCATGTGGTCCGGCATGCATTAATTTTTTATGTTCATGTATAGCATAATTAATTTTACAAAATTCGTTTCTTTAGGTAACATAATTGGAAATCGTTGTTCGGTATTAATATCCGTGCTAGGCCGGCAAGAATATGTCTTTTTGTTGTTTCAGTTTTTACTTTCGGTACTTGTACGACACATACGTGTAGTAAACACTTTTCGGTTCCCAGTATAAACTTAGAGTTTTCACGCTTTCTCTATCCAATGGTATGTATGGTCGTTAATTTATCTTTGTTTTGATTCGGGGATAAATCCGTATGGTTCATAGTCCATTTTGATAATTCTAATCCACCACCTCGCATAATTGAAATTAATTCGTCACACAATTCAATTGCTTCCATCAATGAATCTGCCCCGGTGAGGCAATCGTCGACACAGAAATAATTTTTTATTATTTCTTTTAACTTCGTGTTAGTGGTCTTATCGCCGGTGCGATTGACGCAACTTATTGCCAAAAAACCTGCCGACACCAAACCGTAAGTAACAGTACATAATATAGTCTATATACTTTTACTTCATAATTATTCATTTGGATCTGATCTCCATAATCCACGCTGAGAGTTACGATGGTCTTTGTGAACTAACACCTGACGATAAATTTTTTTTATGTCCTCCGAAATGCATATTTATGTGTTCTTAACCTTACCACGATATCTAATAGGTCTGTTTGTATTTTTGGTCCGTTCATTAGTATGTCATTTAATGACACACCACTATTAGTTTTTGCCGACCCATCACAAACGACGCGTAACTTTGTCGTTCAACCACGGTCGTTAATTACATACGAGTGCGGTTGATAAAAACATTTCGTGTGATCGATTAACTGCTTATCGCCGCCGGTATCATAAACACATTCTATATGATTGAGAATTTGAGACTTTCGTACTCTCTCATAAACATTTTATACTTCATGTATAGTTCGGGATTCTTTGTTAACCTATTTCTGCAGATAGAAATCTTCGGAGAGCTGAGGTGTATGAGTTACCCAGCTGATGACAACTTTCTTTGAATGGTAGTTCAACTATAAATCTACCGTCCTCATTTTGAGCGAGGTTTTCGTTAAAATGTGTTATATACGACCTTTCTTCGTCAGTGAAATTATGCTTCGACGATGGTTCTTCCATTTTCCAAAATAACTCTATTTTGTTATACCACAATTGGTATTGATTTTGAGTTGTTATCAAACACGAATTTAATTTTCTCGTACTTCATTTTGTCAAAGTTTTTCCTACGACTTCATATCCGAATAACGTTTTTTGCAAATACGGACCGTCTTTGGTTTTTAACTTCTCATCACACATTATGTCCCAATAAGTATTACCTCCGATAAGAACGTCAATATTTCCCGGATAATTGGGTCTGCGGCATTTTTTGTGACTTCACTTTGATCGCCCTGTATACAGTGTCGACCTTCCGCGATTGCGTTATTTCCCGTCAATCTAATGTCGACTTGTGTCATTAAATCGAAATACAGATCTTCAAATGCAGACCTATATTGTAATTGATCATTATTTCTAACGTCTAACATGTCGATATTGTTTTGAATTGCATTGAATTCGCTCCATGCTTCACGAATTTTCTCGGCTCTTAATCTTAATTGCGTTGTAACATTGGATTTTGGCTCATTCAGAAATGTCTGGAAACGAGTGAGCTGCGCTTTTACCTGTCCACGACGTAGAACGAATGAGGCCAATTCGTTATTTTCATCAGGCATTATGATCGACCTTTACCCACTATCTAACGTTTTTATTGATAAAATGATATGGTGAATGTAGACTTAAATATATTTCCCAACAATTTTTATTTTAACACAAGGATAGGATTATAGTTATAATTTATGGAAATAAAGCCGTTTTCACTTAAATAGGTGCTAAATTGCTAGACTCACTCATCTGGTCAGTTGTCTTCATCCTTGAATTGCACAGCTCCTTAATCTTCTACCATGGACTTGTAAGTCAAATTGGCTACAATGTGTGTAACACTATTGACGCTCACGTTCTGATCCGGTTCGTTAGGACCAATGTTTCGGCTCATTTTTTTCAATAAAACCACAAACTGAGCCGAAACAAGTAATATGCATTTCTAGTTTTTATGAGGGTGTACTGCTAATGGGAAAATGTTTTTCCACTACTCCGTTCATATAATTAAATACCATCGTGTAACAAATGAACTGTTTGTCCGAAATTTGATTACTATAATCTCCGTAAGTACTCCAAAATATATTTTGCTCTAGAATATAAAAAAAAAATAATGAAATAATTATATTGTCTTACATTAAATTTATCATGCCATATAAAATAACTTAAACAACAATTTTTTTCATTTTGTGACCCTAGTTACACTTTCTTCATAATAATTAGGCAACTTTTACCCTTATAATAATTTTTGTAAATTTGTCTTTTCAATTGAAATTAGACAAAAATAGTATATTGAAATGATATTTTATTAAAAAAAAGTTTGTCAAAAATAAAAAATAATGGTATATAACAAATAATATTTGAATGACGAACATGTTCAGTGGGGCCCATTATCTTCTTGAAGAATGAAATAAAAATAAAAATAAAAATAAAAAATATCAAAATATGTTCGATAAACATGTATCATGTTTCATAAAAGTTAAAAGATTTTAGAAAGGTACCAAATAATAAATTAATCACAGCACATTGTTTAACTTAGATGAATGATAACATTCTATTTATACATTACTCTAAGAAATGAAATGAAATACCTAGTCTTGTAGTAATTTGTTGAGATCAGAGAAAAATTGTGGTTTGGCCCTGTAAAAACAGTGTTACAAGATTGGAAGCAACTAATTGTAATATTTACGTATTTGATAATCCAAATCTTTAATATTGGAGTAAAGTACTATGAGGGGAGGTGACACATTTTCTAGTAAAGTATGACTTTTAGTAATTAGTAAAAATAATGCAGTTGGGGCTTGATGTGGCGTGGTGATTGGCTGAAGTCCCTAATGGGTGTCAATCATCGGCCGGCGTAGCTAGCAGCCGGATGGGTGACCACCTGGGCGTATAGTGACGAAACCTAACTCCACATATACACGTGTTACTCAAACACAACCGTGACCCCTACAAAAAATGCTAATTGTCATAGTTTCCTATTCTTTAGACAAGAAAAAAATCCAAATTGTTTATATTGATAGAACAAATAGATTTAATAGAATCGCTAAAAATTACGATTATTTTAGCCGGTTATTGGCAGATGAAGGGGAGAAAGTTTATCATCCAGATAATGCTCAAAGAATTTCAAAATAAAATTATTTAATACGTTATTCAGTTGCTTCAAATCTAGACATCTTCCTAGAATTTTTACAAGACATATGAAGCTTAAATAATTAAACAAAAAAAGTTGAACTTAATATTCAAATTCATTGACCGGAAATCATACTCATAACAATTAGTTCAATAAACAATGTTTTTTTGAAACCACTTACTATATTCCAAAGTTTATAAAATGTAAATTACAAAAAATCAACTTAAATAAGATATAAATTTAAAAAATGTTAAATGGAGCATGGGCGCTCGCAGGCAAATGCATTTTAAGAATCATAAAATAAAAAAAAAAGTTCAACTTGATAAGCGGACACAAAAATAGAAAACCAAATAAGGATCTTTTTATTCTAAGGGTCCCACTTAACCCTCTGTTAGTCGCGCGCCAAACGGGGGTGATTAAACTAGCACCCCCCACACTGCCCAACTCGCGCGACTATGCTGTTAAGATAGAGGGTTAAATAAGTCATTAAAAGGTTAGTATGACTAAGGGCTATGATAGTTGAAGCTGTGGTGATGATAGTAGGCTAGTGGTAGTATATTATCATCTCTGGTCGAGAGCATCGCAATGATCTTTTCCTATACTAACTACCAAGGTATTCGATATTGTATAAGCATAACAATAAAAGAAAATATTTAAATATTACCAAGATAAATTAGAACCTAATTAACTATCATAATTTGAATAAATAGTTTTAAAGCCAGTCGGTTTGCGTTATACCAGTACTTATACCAGTACTTAACTTAAATACAGTCAACAACAATTATTAGTGATTTATCTATCACAAAAAATTATAAAAACTGATTTAAAAAATCATCAAAATGCTATTGTGAGGTTTTCAGTATTTATTTATTCATTAGTATCAATTTAAAATATGGTTAAGTGCAATAAAATTACATTGTCCTTGAATTCAAAATGTGTTTTCTTCTCACTTCTTTCAACATTGCATTTCATCTATTTTTCAACATATTTACTAAGATAAAAACAAAAATATAAATATTATGATATTTGAATTTTTTCTATACTTTTCTATCATTTTTTCATATTTTTTTAAAATTTGATTCTTAAAATTCATTTGCCTGCGGGTGCACATGCCCCCCTTCAATTTTTTTTTCTATAGTTTATTTCTAGTTAATTTATTTCAAGACATTTTTGAAATTTAGATAACCATTTACAAGGTTATATTTTATTATTTTTAAATTTATATTAAGTGTTTGTTACAAGATAAATAAAAGGAATAAGAAACAATAATTAATTAAATCAATTTTATTTTTTTCAATTTTATTTTTACCCATAATTCTATTATAGTGACATGACTCCAGGACCCGGCACCAAAATGAGAAAAAGTCAGCAAAGGATTGAAATAGTCCGACGATTTCTAACTATAATAATTAAAAATTAATAAAGTAAATTTAAAATGAATAAAACTTGAAGATCTGAAAAATATAATCTATTTATTATCAAAACAAAATAAAAATTGTTATTAATTAATGTGACCTCTTTATTGATGGCCATGAGCTTATAATATTCAATAACCCATGTTATGTTCCTATAAATATAGAGTAAAAATAATTTATTAATAAATTTAAAAAAAAAAAATATTAATTTATGTTTATTGTAATATAACCATGTATTAAGATTATAAGGGTAAGAAACAATTATTTTTATTTTTATGCTCAATTAAACTTATATTAAATAGTAGCCCGATATATTATGTAAAATACTTCTGTAAGTAGTATATTTCAATTGTATATTACATAATATAATTTATAATTGTAAGTTATTCTCTAAACTATACCTACGTATGAACACCAATGATTGTTATGATTTTTGGTCTCGAAATTATAAATAAGTTAGCGGCTATTTGCAACATATTAGCAGCAATATTTGCAAATTATTTGCAAAATGATAACATAACTTTCAAAAAAATTGGTCACGGTTTTGGGGCCAACTTCGCGCACATCACTGATCGACATTTTTTAGTCTCGTTATTTATGCGCATACTGTTTAAATCCGGAAAATACTTTGTGAGTTTTCCGGCATCAATCGAAAAATAATTATAACCATGAGATCGTAATCTCTACGTCGTTGTACTCTATGTGACGAGACGATAACGAATTTAAACAGGGGGATAGACACGTGTTTACCAATATAAAAAAACAAAATTTAAGCCGTGTACAAAAGTATTTCAGCCATTACACAAATCGTGAACGAATCCTGGACGAATCGTCTGAACGTTAATACCATGGTGCACCACCATCATGCACATTTATGTAAGTCATATAAAAGTGCATATTTATTAGAATGGTCGTCCTTATTTATAGATGAGTTAAGAATAAAAAATTCAAGAGTCTCCTCTCTATACTGCAATGTGTATCAACATTTTTGAATCGAAGACCCATTTTCTTTTGCCATAAAAAAAACACTTGTTGTATTGTCATATAGTAATGTATAGTTCTAGACTTCTAGGAAAATAATACATAATAATAATATGGTTGAAGTAAATCAAACAAATATCTCGACCCGGCATTGGGTCATGGGCTAATGTAGGTTATCAAACACTATACTTTACAGTGCATAATTAATTACATTTTGAAAGATACTTATTCAAATAAAAATCCATTTTTAGTATCGATAAGTCTTAGTTAAGGTCAGAAGGAACTATAGAGAGGTCAAATTATTATTATAAACTAGAATTATTACATTAGACGGATATGATTCTGTGAATCGGTAAAAGCGTTTAAAATATAGAAATATTGAAATTAACTACCTACTATATTATAATCTCACGGTTTAATAGTTGTTTTTATAGTAAATTATAACATTAATTCTATGTGTACCTATAGTTCGATTTTACGATATTTTTTTTCGATTTGGTGTTGCTGTTTTTTTTGATTTTCCAACGAAGCTGATTGTAGCATAAATCAACCAAAAACGTTCAATCCTATAAGGTTCAGTAACTGCCATCCACGATTTAAGATAAACAGGCTACGAACACAGAATTATTAGTTGTATGATGCCCAGTGTTCATCCTCGATGAAGGCCTGCAAGAAGCGCTCCTTGTGCGCCCAAGTGGTTAAGCAATGTATATTTTCATGATTTAATTTTTTTTTTTATTAAGACACATATATATATATATATAGTATATAGTTGTGTAGGTGCACTTAAAACATTAGCTGTAAGTACTCCTTCCTATAGTGAACAGCTGATTTTTGGCGATAAACTTTGAGCATCACTCTGGATACAAATTTCTATACGGCTTTAGTAACCAGCTAAATACCTTAAATCGTGTTGCCGTCTTTGTTGGATATCCAGAAATAACAGTAATACAAAATCGAGTTACTTCCCTCCTCTACATGTCTTGATATAATTTTCAAAGGTCATTTTTATAATATTATTATTATCATTATTTTATTATTAAAAAAACCACTTACGTTAAATACAAGCCATGCCTACCGTATTACACGTGTTCACTATCTTAAAGATTTATCACGTTTTCTCGTTACTCGTTTGTATAATAATAATAATAATAATAATAATAATACGATTTGAAAAGCTAAATGTAAATCGCATTATGCATTATTGGTATAATATTCGTATCGCCGTAAAAAGTATATGACAAGCTATATAATATGACGAGCGTGTATTATTATTTTAGTGCTGTTAAAAATATGTAACATACATTTTTCCGTTCGTTATTGGTGACTCGAATTTTAATCTTTGGAAAATGAAAATACCATTTGAAACAGGTATACGAGAATAACGAGAATAGCATATTATTTAATAAATAATGTTATTGTATAGTAAATAGACGGTATAAATAATCAAACTGTAATAATTCAAAAACTCAATAAAAAGACGACGTAACGACTGTGTCGCGCTCGCTCGGCCGAAAATAAAAACGTTCGTGTAACGTTCTTGTAAATGAATTAGAGCGCAATTAATATGAAAAATCGTACACGGAGTGGTTGACGCCGCCGCGGACGTCCGAAATTATTACGACACGGACTCGTAATATATTATTATTATCATCATCGTTGTTACGTATATAATAATATAATATATTATTTGGATCGTTCGACTACAACGGCAGGATGCACTTTTTACGTGCAATAAAAATGTATTTACGGCGTAGCAATTATAATTGGACGCGTATGATGATATAAGAGTCAGCGAGTCTCGCATATAATTATCGTATCGCGTATGTCGCGTATTAATAACAATAATATATTATAACTACGTTGTCGGACGACGACGACGACGACGGAACGAAAATATGTTCGAAATCTGTCGGGGAAATGGAAGGAGAAAAAAAAAAATTAGGAAAAAACGCCACCGACGATTTACGTCGACCGCGCGGAGACGACACTTAAGAGTGAAATTATTGCGAGCGAGTACACGGATAATGACGCATTTATGAGGGCCAGGGGAGCAGCGACAGTTTTCGTGTTCCGCCGAAATTTATGTGACTCCATCTCCTTCGTCTTTACCGTCCCAGTCAATCGACGGTTATTCGGTCCGCGGCTAATTTAAAGCGTCGTATATGCACATCACATACGCACACGATTTATGGTTGTGGTTGACATATAAAAATAATAATAATAATATTGTCGAGACCGAAGTACAAGTCGATTGGTTATCACCGCTTGTGTGTATAAAAATACTATTTCTAAAATTATGTGTGTATAAAAAAAACTATTTCGATGGCGTTTTCACGGTGCATTTTATACGAAGCTATTAATTAATATACTGCTGCAGCCGCAGTGGATGCAATTTTTGCATTAGAAGTCGGTGGCGAAGTATGCTTTGTGCGCCACGACATTTTTTAAAAGGCAGTTATTAAAGATAGAAGTTTGAAGTGAAATAGCCAAAACCATAATTTGAAAACAAGTTCCCCTCGCTTTCTGCTAATATTTATCGGAGTCCCCATTTCAACAATTATTATTGTCATCAAAATCTCCCCTTGCCGAAGGAATTCGTGCAGGTCCTTAGAATACCTCGAACAACACGGGAAAAATAGTATTAAAACAATAATATGTTCATAATATTATATTACACCTATAATAAGCAATTTTTATAATAATAATATTATCCTTGAAATTTCTGTACAAAGCAGATGTTAAAATGTGCTGACAGAAACCATTGATGCTCGGATAAACTACTCACGACACTTCGATTGGGTAGGTATACTTCGGGGAAAGGTGCAACTACACTCAGGATATTTGAAAAAAATGTGTGAAATTGTCTGATGCGCCACAAACACGTTCAGGAAAAGTGCACATTGAAATTGAAACGGTCAAAAGACAAACGTATTAATAATTAAAAGTGAAACCGCATATGTCATAATTATTTAGAAACGCCGTCTCAAGTACGACTGCTTAAATACGATCCGACGTAATTGGGTTTTAAAATATCCACATATTTATATTATGTATACGATCTGGTAAAGGTTAACGCGTAGAAAAATGTGTCATAAACGTTTTATTATTATTATTATTATTGTAATGGCTTGACATTTCGAAAGCGTACGTTTATCAGCGGGTAGCGATATTATTAGCACAACGCACAGTCAGGGTTAAAAAATAAAAATATCCAAACAAATTATTGTGAAACGGACATTTTTTTTTTAAAATCTCCGATCAATAAAATAATACACTTTACCATATAGTGCGGTGAATTTCAACAAGCGAGCAGACCGAGTTCATCATTGCTTTTTAATTGTCCAACTATACAGTCATGCGGTACCTATATATAATATAAAGTATTTTATTATTGTTATTTGTACATAATTATTTGGCCATTTACATTATACATGTTGTGTTCCCGCTTTTGATGTTTGAATAATATTTTAAATTGCAAGTACAGAACAAACAACGAAAACGCTTATCGACAGCAAATATTGTGTAATTAAAACGATGGTGTGTATTTGAAACGTTTTTAATAACTTTTGTTATCGGCCCACAGAAGAAATTGGTACTCGATTGGGGGCCATTGACTGTAACGAAATAATATTTGATTTCAAAATCACACACATAATTTTTTACGGTTCATTGATCATAATAATCAATACACTACAATTACACTGATCGCACAGAATATATGTAAACAATATTATATAGGTATTATCATCGTGTAGACCGCTGTAATGTGTTACGAACAATAATAATGTGAATAACCGACTGCATCAGCACACGGCCACGCGAACTTCGGTCCGAATGAAAGTGGAATATAATATAATATTATATTATACAGACGATTTTAATGATTTGATACGACGTGACGTGCAGTGTGCATTACTGTTGCGCGAGTCTGAGTGAAATCGAATGAAACCGACACGCGAAAAAGTAGGACAAACAAAATATTATTATATCACCGGAAAACTTGTTTTTCGAGTTTTTTTTTTTTTTGACATTTCTCGGAGGTTATAAATGTATAAAGTAATCCAAAACTACGGTTGATTACTTACGGCGATATGTGTGTCGTTCATCATTTCAGGGACGGTGGCGCGTGTATCACCCGCGTAATATTTTATAGGTAGGTACATAAATTATGCGTTATTTAATCTTCCGCCCGCGATTGCTATTTTTGAGACTTTCGCTTATTTTATGTATTTTAATTTTCGTTCCTGTAAGAAAATTGTTTATTTTCGAAGTTTAAAATGCATTCACGATAAATGCTCAAATGCTGCAATAACTATGACATAATAATAATAATGATAATAATAATAATAATATAGATATGATATAAACCTCTAAAGTCAATTTGAAAAGTTTGACTTTTCAATTCGACTGTGATAGTTATAATGGTATTATATTATTGTACCGACTCATCAACGTGCTTACACAGTTATGTCTGTATACAGTATTATAACTTACCATATTATTATCGAGAATGAAAAATATACATTTATACGAAGAAAATCATTAATCAGTATTCTCCAAAATTCAGTTATTCTTAGTCACGACTATAAATTAATATACCTATAATTGTTCTATGGTAGTTAGATATACGTTGCATTTTAAAATATGATTTTAAAATATAATGATAATTAAGTGAATAAACAAATATAAAGGTCCATCTTCAAGGTAGAACGAATGAAAAAAATTAATTAAACCTATGTTACCTACTGTAAATTGCTCATGACATACCTACATCGTTTATGACATATAAAAATATATGATACTACACCGATTATCATCTACGTGACATTAACAACCTGCTATGTAAGCTGGGCAAAAAAAAATGTATAAGACCTAGAATGTGGCAAAACCAGTGGTGTGCCGAGGAATTTCCAATGGTGGATGGGGGAGTATTATAATTAATAATATATAGTTAAATGAAAGTGGTAATACCAAATACACAAATAAGAGGATTTATCGGACGATGGAGGAATATAACCCCCAAACACCCCCCCCTGAAAATACCACTGGGCAAGTTTGTTTTCAAAATAAGATTTGATATGGCCTTAAAATGTTTATTTAACATTAATTGTTACTGTATAATATTGATACATTTTTTTTTAACGTTTTAGTGTGTCATTATAAATAGAGTCTTAGCACAATTTGAGGGATTGTTTTTGTGTCAACAGCAATATTATAGTTTTATTATATTATAGTTATACTATATTGCTGTATTATATCAGTACATACTGATAAACTATAATAATACGTTCGAATTAATCCATGTTCAATGTTTATCATTATCAACTGTGCACTTGCAGTGGAAATATGGGAGGACAGTTTTCTGCATGTTATTTTAATAATATATTATAAGCCATGTTATGTCATATACAGACCATTTTCGGACGTATTTAGTGCACATTTATCATTACGTGTTTATTTTACGGCACATCGGACGACACGAGTTTCGACGACGACAATATTGTACATCATTATATTACATTACACACTATTGTCTTCATTTCGCACTAAACCCTCAGCCCTTCTGCCGCCGTATCAGGCATGTCCCAGACCGTGTAAACAACAAATTCAAATTAATTCCCGGTGTTTATACATCTACATATACATGTAGAGGACGGAAACAATCGTAAAGTATAGGCGGGCACGAGCATATAGTATTAAAGGTATACGCGCACACTCTACTCACCCGTACTCTGCACATCGAGGTAACCTGAAAGCGCTCTTGAAAGCATCGGGACGACTGATGGCGCAAAGCACCGTATGATTCATATGGAACAAAGAATATTATTTAACTGTCGCAGGTACACCCCCTCGTCACTCCTCCCCCATCCCCTCATCAGAAAAACGTGACGATTATATTATATTATGTGCAAATAAGAAATACTGCAGAAACAATATACACGGGTACTGGCTCGTCGACGTTGTACTTTTACTCATTCTTTTACGACCGTCGAGTGCATGACGAAAGTTTTGAAATGAATGACGAAAGACGGAAATTAAATTTTGGTTAAGTACATAATTATTGTACACGCGAGTATGTCATATTATGCAACTAGGGGTGTATCATTATATGTCGTTTTAGCCACTTCTGAACTTTGAGAAAATGCAAATATGTGCGGACCGATTAAAAAACCTTTTGATCTATTTTTGCAGCCAGAAAGAAGTAGGTATTTATATGACGTGAATAGAAACTCGTTATTGTAAGACCAACCGCAGTTTTTCCGAAAAGGGCACTGCAAATGATTCATGTTTCTAAAATAATATTTTGAAGCAAAAAAACAAAGCTTAATAACAACGTTGCGTAATAATCATCGTATATTAAATTGTATTTATAGTAGTATAATACCGTGTATAATTTGGAACTATCATGTTAACATAATAATATTATTTTTGGTGAACAAAAAGTAAAAACTGACCAAATAGATCCTCTTTTAATGCAATTATTAATTAAATATTATTTGCAGTGAGAATATTTCACACAACGCATCCATCATAAAAAGAAAAACAATCATGTCTTAATAAAATTGCTCGATGAGCATAAAAGTTATTTGGGCTACAATTATTTTTTTCTGACAATCTTCAAATCGACAAGGCTTTTCTGTAATAATTATGTTGAATATATTATGTAACTATATTAAATCTTGCGGATTCGTAAAAAAATAAATATCTGACGAACAAAATTCGTGAAAACGTTCAGATGTTTTTTTTTTTTTTAAGTTCTGGTAATGTCACAAAACCCTATTGTATTCATATAAGTATATATATATATATCTGTCGGACGTTCGATCGAAAACCTTGTTACTCTTAACACACGTACAATTTTATTGTTATAATATAATGGAATTTTTCACCAGTAATCGTGTTAGTTTAAAGAAACATAAAAGTATACACTGTGCGGATTATTTTGTCATTGTATATTGCCGGTCGATATACGGAGAAGACGCGACACGACTGTTTTGACATATTATTTGTGAGAAAAAAAAATTGTAATTTGAAATGCTGTGATGGATGTACCTCTACAATCGTATACGTATGGCGTTGATATATTGTAGCCACGGAGGATTTCAACAATGCACTTGTCTAAAGGTATAAGTCTTATTAAAACATTTATGTTTCGACGTAGGCATATATACGTGGATACGACTCATATGCCTATAGATTGCCGTCTGCCAGACTAAATAGTGGCAGGACTATTATACCTGTAGCCTGTGAGATACGCACAGACAAAACTTTTTGTTGCCCGTCGTTTAAACCGTCTGTTGAATATTGTAAACACTCTGAGAGCGAGGAGAGTGGAGGACACGACCGCCTAAGGATATTTTATTCACCCACAGCCACACCTGCAGGATCGCAAACTTACGAAGTAAGTGAATTCCGTATGCAAATTAAGCTTAAGTATAGTGTTTAATAATATACTCTACCGTACATATAATCTCGTTTTAAGGATTATACGTACCCGAATAGATCGCTTTAAATTATAGTGCCTCCTAATGGTATTTAATAAATTAGAAACGCATTGTATTTAGCTACAGTATAATATAGTAATCATCTGTACGGTTAAAAAATATTTGCATTTTAGATTCAAATCGTATTATATTCCTCGTAATAATATATTCTGCTAAAGTTCGGTTGCGGTGAACGATTCCGGGTAAAACCACCCACATATTACAGTAGTTATATAATATAACGATGTACAACTGTATATAAAACAAAGTCAAGGAAATTATTTATGAACACAAAGTATACATTGTTGCGAGACGAGGTGTATTTTATTAAATTATAGATTAAACTTATGTCAAACAGTTTTACGGAAAAGATAATTAGTTTTAATTATATTTAAATATTTAATTGTGTATAACACTCTGTCTCGGGCCGTCACTTGACAAGACAAGACATCGCACAAAAGTTACCGTTAGTTGTACACCAAAAGTAGATGGAAGCTATAAGATTTTCGATAAAACGAAAGCCAAAAAGCCGTGTAATGACTACACTTGAAAAGAGTTAATTACAAAATTAATAACAAAAACCCTCGGAAGGCAGAAATCAGATTTCAAACATTTTTCTGACAGCGTTGTAGGCTTAAGAGACGGGGTGGTTTGAAAAATAAATCCTCGGAAGAAAGTCTGCCGACTGCAGCGCAGTACAGAGTACAATATTTTTAAGCATATTTAGATTTTAAAATATGCGAAATGCATCCGAATCGGGGGTTCTACTACGTAGTTGGTAATTTGACTCTAGGGAAACAAATGTTAGCCGTGCATAATTAAATAAACTACACATTGAGAGTTGTAATTATATTTTACCCCCTCCCCCCACTACACCGGTGCAGGGTTACCTATGGCTGCAGCGATACCTGTATACAGCTAAGCCCAATAAGACGTCGAACATGGAACGACCGAGTAAATCATAACAATTCCAAGTCGTCGATCGAAATAATACAATAATTTAATATTAACAATATTGACGGGCGCATCGTATAGGCAATATAATATCATACAATTATGATATTCGGTTGATTGGGTACGATGGAGCGACATCTGCAGCAGCCCTGTCAAGTCACGGACGACGGCGACGGTTTTTCGACGGAACGAGAAAATTCGACCTTTGCGAATTCCTTTCAGAAAAACTCTTGTCGAGACCACCCGAACGTTACCTATATGTACAATAATATATTATCGTACTGTGTACAATAACACATGCGAGCGGAGGGAAAAAAACCTAGGCCCGGAGAAAGGGTTTTCACTATACATTGTCCTAGTCGAGTCGACGACAAAGA